TCAGACCCTCTTGATGGAGTCCAAAAACATTTTTTTTTTTCGCAGAAAACAACAGCAGTCTAACAAAATTAACAGAATTTGACTTTCAAAATTTCCGGGTTCTTTCACTGTCACTCATTATAACACTGTATCTCATCTTTCCACATTTGTCCGTGTAATTCGTGTAGAAACATAAATTCTTACAATCTTTTCAAACAATCGCTAAAACTGTATGTTCAAAAAAATGATTTGTATTAGACGTATTTGAGTTTCTATCAGCATGTTGACGATATAAAATAATTGTGTATTTGCAAATCTCTGATCGATAAGAAAGACATTGAAATTCGCCGTCTATTATTAGTAAACTATTTTAAATGATACTATAATTAAATGGGGACCTTTGAAAAAGCTCAGCAGAGCTTGCTAGATCTTCTGCCGTATCTTGTTTATAATTTAGTATGTATTATGTGATGTAATGAACTATTGAAGGCGAATAAACATTAAGATATAATTGCAAGGCAAGCTTAAGTATGAAGATCGATTTAGATCTTCTTGCGAAAGCATTTTATTGTTAGATAAGAAATTTAAAATACCTACCGACAGCCTTTCCACAAGCATTGTCAACTCTTCTTGCAACAGTCTGTCCTCTTCGCTCTGTAAAATATCCCAAAGTTATTCGTTTATTGTAAAAAAAGAAAAAATCGCTCTCACAAGTCATAAAAGTTGATGAGTCACGTTGGTTCGTTTCATTCATTTTCCTCTAAAGAACAACAAGAATAACCTTAAAAAACAAACATAAAGTTACCAGTTCAGGCTCCTCTTCTTTTTTGGTCTCATCCTTCGATTTTTTCTCGTCTTTTTTGTCTGCAGTTGTCTCTTTCTCTTTCTTCTTCTCGGTAGCCGGCGCCATGTTGAAATTTATGGTGTCTGAGGTTCGCGGCGACTCCTGGGACTTCTTCCCCAGTCTTTAACTTGTGTTCCCTGCCAAGTAGAGCCCAGGCTTTCCCCGTCGAGTTTGGTTTTTCTTCCGAGCGATTCCGAGCTGCTCCCGAGCTGTACAACATAATCCAAAAATTCATTTTCAAAATATGTTTTTCTGTTTCTTCCTGAAATGAGCGAAATTTGGATTCCGTCGGGAAGACGTTTGTATAATCCTTCCCTATTCTAAGGAACAGTCTTATGTTCGACTTTATTTTTCTTTTATCAAATGAATAGTAATGAAGTATAGCATGGATGGGATTGTAAGGAAATCATTTGCCCAAAGATCATCTAGCTTTACAGATATTCGAGTTAGTGTGTTTTAAAAATTGTACTTTGCTTTGTTGTTCTATCACTCAAAAGGGGGTGACACCTTAGGGACCTTATACGCGATAAGTGACTGCCTCGGTCGAACACAATGAAATTCCGAGCTTTTGATTGAATTGCATAAAATGCACAAATTGAATTCTAAGAGAGATTTTCATTTAATTTGTACCCCACATTCTTATGCGATTCCTCAGCTGGGATTTTTTTATATTCCACCTTTAAAATTCCACGTTGAACCAGAATCCCGGCAGGTGGTTACACTTCACACACGCCAAGTAGTTTGTTCCATAGATTTCCAATATTTGTAGCTTACTGCCTCAAGAGGCGTAAGCTACTATGCTGTCCTTCTGAGTGAGTATAACAATAAAATCCGAGTGAGCGACTAACAATAGAATTCGAGCCCACAACGAACTCCGATTTTGATTCGATATTCCCCGATCTTAACTCCTCCTTTTTGCATCTACGAGCATCTGTGAAGTCCTAGATTCTATGCTATTCAGAGTCCTTCCGTATGTCCATGACAATAGAAACCTTCGGATAATGCTCAGAATTCAGTTGGGCGTGGCCGAGTGGCCCGGGTTCGAGTCCTCCACCCTCAACTCCTCGGCTGCGCTCTGTAAATAGCCTACTGGTTTGCCTCCTACCAGTGGGGATTTTCATGCACTTTATGTATATTTAAAATATTTGTTTGATTTATTTGAGGGCACAAGTTCATCAATAGTTCATGAATAAAGTTGTTATTATTATTATCGCAGAGAATTCAACTGAATGCTACATTCTAATCAAGCAACACAGGGCGAAAACTGTAACCTGTTAGCCATGGAGTAAAAAATAAATGTACATTGTGTATACGGTCCTCCTTCTAAAAGGAACTCAAACTGCCACCTTGAAAGTCCGGGCAATATTCAACGTGCCCGAGAACACTGCCCTCTGCATCTTTCGCAGTACGTCTGTGCTTCTGCCTCCCACCAGCTCGCGCATCATGACATCCAGCTCCCGTGACCACCCCCCGAGGGCATCCATAATGATGTTACATTGCTTCACCTCGTAGCCTGGGAACTGCTGCCTTCGTTCCCAGAGAAGGGGTCCGTACTTAAGTGTCTTCTCTTCATCCTTTCTTGTCCGATTTTTAACCCACGGGTAGCTCATTCCAGCATCACAACTCTCTTGCACATATGATTTACAATGCGTGCATCCACCCTATTGCATCTGACCTCTTGTTGATCAGCGTATATAGGGACATCCCAATAAGCTTTAACATTCTCTGACTCATACACAGGCTTGGGCTTGTCGGGTGAGTACCAGGGTGGTATCTCGTCTATAACTCCCTCACCTCGCCTTCCCCACTTGAATGGGTCTTCTGACTCATATATACTCGCGTTGGCAAGAGCTGCTCGTATAGCTCGACGAGTCCAGCAATTGTGTGTGATCGGCAGTTCTTCCACTCTGTAAGCCACCAGAAACACCCATCGGCACTCAAACTCTCATCCTCTAGCCTGGTAGTCACCAGACGCCCTTACCATCGTTGGTTTCTGATCTCATCCTCTAACTTCTCAATTTGGCACCTCCGCACTTCCTTCTTAATCCGTTGCGAGTGTTCCAAATCCAACTCCACCCCAACTTCTCCGCGCAATTAACCGCTTCTTTAAAATGGACCTACGCCCCATCCTTGCCACTTGCTCTTCAAACTCGCGTACCATTCCCAGTGCACGAGTCTGACTGCACCCTTGATTTTTGTGGCTTTGTACTCCATTTCGACAGAACGCAATCCCCGCCCTCCTTTACTTCTTGGCATATACAACAATGCATTTGAACTACATGGGTGTCTACTCCCACTCTCGACAACAATCTTGCGCGCCTCCCTATTGATCTGCTTAAGTTCCATCACCGGCCACTGTTGTGTCCACATAAGATATCCAAGAACAGGCAATGCAAACTGATTTGATGCTACCACCCGATTATAATCGGACAAGGGACTTGTCCAAATAACTGACAATCGTCTGAGATACTCTCTTGCTGCACACTCCAGGACCAACTTATCCTCCTGCCTGACACTCTCAAGTACTCCAAGGAACTTGTACCGCTCACCATCATCAAGACATGGTATTCTAGTCAACTCCACAACTCTCCCCCTGAGACAGCAGTCACTTGTATCCCCCTTTTCACATGGGCCACCACACACTTCTTCAGGTTCCTTTGAAGCCCCACATCCTCCATAGATGACTTAACCATCTTCATAACCCGTTCAAGCTTACTCTCCGATGCAGCGAAGATCTTGAGATCATCAATATACAAGAGTCCCGTAACCTTGCTGTTAATAGGTTTGGACATCCGGTATCCTTCAGCGGCTCTGATCTTCCATGCAACTGATTTCAAGCATACGGCGAACAGCTTCGGGCACAATGCATCCCCCTGCGGTAACCCTCTCTTGAACTTAATCCTTTCGGAGGTCTGTCTCCCTTCCCTTGTGATCGCCACTACCTTTGTGTTCCAACTCTTACACAGTTTAGCAATGACTTAACACAACCATATGGGAAACCTGTGCAACGTCATCAGCCCATTCAACCAACTATGATCTACAGAATCGTACGCCTTTTTTACATTTTACATCAATCCAGGCCACGCTCAAATTCCGCCTCCCCCTATGACAATCCAACGCAACTGTTCGATCGATCAATAGCTAGGTTGTCTGTTGTTCCACTGCATCCTACACGTGCCCCCCTCTGCGCAACCTCCATTAGATCGTTCTCCTCCAGATACTGGTTTGTTGTAACTAGCAGACAAGAAGTGAACCACTTATAAAGCGTGTTTAGACAAGTGATGGGTCGTTGGTTGTCGCTGGTAAACTCACCGGGTTTTGGGATTAACGTTGTTTTCCCTTCACAAAAACCATACTGGATACTATAACTATTATTATTATTGTTATTATTATTATTATTATTATTAGTGTCGTTTCAGGGCGGTTAAATACGTTACTCTAAGTAATAACACGGGTGCAGTAAGCTACATGCAGTCATCGACTGCCTATTTTTACTTCTGCACTTGTCCACGCCATAATGCACTCACTGCGCTTTCATGCTCCTACCGCACTTTTATGCACCACCACACTTTTATGCACCTGACCGCGTTTTAATGCACCTACCACACTTTTATGCACCTGCCGCGTTTTTATTCACCTACCGCCTACCGCGCTTTTCAGTCAAACTCTAGACGGTAAAACTAGGTGTTCCAGCATAACACTGGTTTGAAATTAAGCTTCTCTCCAGGAAAGACGATTAAATCGAAGTTAACGTTGAGGAAAACGCACATAAATATTGAGAAATGTCGAGAAGTTGCAGCTGTTAAAATCATACATTAGTAACGAGTGAACAAGGGTAATAAATTTAGCGCTGCCAATTTCCACCTTCATGCGCACCTTAAAATTTTGCGATTGTAGAGAAATCGCCAAATTTTGTTCCCTCGAAATCTAGTAGCGATGAGGTAGGCGTTACACTTGCTGTCTGAAACAGCAAACCTGCTTCTTCAGAAAAGCAGTTACCTCGATCTCGATCGCGTTTCCCTGAACCTCTCGTCTAGCGTCTAAGCCAACTAAACAGTGGTATTAATGTGTTAACTTTTCTCGGGCAGAGTAGCTCAGCTGTTTCGGAGGTCCCATTTAATCTCTACTTCCCAATTGCTTCTCTAGCTGGGAAGGTAAGCGCTTTCCACACTTATAACATGATAAGAAGCCTTTTTATTCTACCGTTGAAGCTAATCACAACAATTTCAAGACAATTAAATGACGTAATTTTGTTCATCCAATAGCCTGCGTGGGTGAGGAGAGGGGGGAAATTTGACGGGATTAGGGCAAGCATTTCCCGCTCCTCTCGCGCGTTCCCTTCGCGCGTCCTCTCGCGTCTCTCGCGCAGGCTACTGATTTACCTTAACGATTTTCTGTGCGACACTTCCAACCGGATCTCATAATAGGAAAATTCTGTGGTCAAAAGATTTGTTTAGTTACATTTACTGACTGATTTCAACCATGCCTGAAAAATATTATGCCAGATGCTGAATAATTATGCAAGGCAAGTATTTTCAAAGTTATTGTTTACGTTGTTACTTCTGTTGCTTTTACAAAACAAACTCCTAGCAAAAAAGAAAAAAAAAAAATAGTAAAAAAGGTGAAGTGAAAGGAGATTTGCAATAATCATCAAAGAATGATACCATGAACAGAATATAGTCAAAATGATTATAAGTAGTGACAACACATATGTAAAAAAAAAAAAACCGTCTATCCATACTGGGTACGTACGACATATATTGGACATTTATACACAAGCTACAGAGTAAGTTTAAAGCCCCTGTAGCGAGTTTCAAGTTTTCTCTTAAGTCTCGCTCTTGTTGCATATTAAAAAGTTATATCAACCATCTGTTTTTAATTTTTCAAAAATTGAAAGAATCATGACACCATGCATAAGAATAGGGTAAAAATCGACAAATGTACAATTATTATTCCCGAAATTTTTTTTTTTAAGTGACTGCTAGTTAATTCCTAAAATACATATGAGCATTGATATTCTCTCCTAATATCTGTCTACAAAATGTACACTTGTGGATCATTTTAAAAAAGCATCAAAACCTTAATATACTAAAACAAAAAAATACAAAAACAAAACAATAAACGAAAGTATGAAAGTGACAGGAAACAAATGAAAAAAGCTGCAATATTCACCAGTTTCATAAAAACCAACCAATTCAATGTACATTTGCACTTTTTATTCTTAACTGAGGAATATTGCATTTGCACATGTGATCATGAAAAGAATGTGCAGGTTTATCAAATTTAACTATGCTACAGCTCCAGCTATCGTTCCATATGGATGAGCAAATTTCTCATCCATTAACAAGTTCAGCAGTACTGTCACATCATGTTTAAATTGTTTAAGGGTGCTAGCAGCCATTGACTCACTACTGGGCACTTCACTTCCTTCACTGTCTGAATGATGGCTGTTTGGCTGTTGACTATTCTTGCTGCTGTCAGAGGAGGGATAGCCAATCCCATTTGCACCCTCTAGAGGCCCTGCATTCTGGAAACTGTCGCAGTTTTCAGTAGTTAGGGCTATTCTCCAAGCAACCTCTTGATTTTCTACATCAGAGCTGCTTGAAAAGGTTTGGTAGACAGGTACATCAAGTGACTGCCAAAAGGTACTTGTACTTTCAGCAAACTCACAATCTTGCATCCCAGTGTCCCTTTTCCAAAAATTGGCTTCTTCGTCTTCTTCCTCTCCCATAAACTGTGAATGCATTCCTGAAAACCAAAGCTGATCTTCAAGGTCATCGGAATCAACCTCACTACTTGCCGAGCTGACGCTGCTCCTCTCCTCCTCAGAATGTGTTGGTGTCACACAGTAGAAATCTTCCACTTCTTCAGCATCCTGGTCATCATCACTCTCTTCATCACTGGCAACATACTCACTGATGTTATCAGGAGCTGGTACAGGTGTAGAGACCTCACACCACTGCACTGTTTCTAACTCTGTGTTTCTGTCAGAGGCTTCCCTCAGCTGATTTTGCATATCTTCTGTTAAGGAGACTGTCACATCAAACCAACCTAGAATTGAATGAAAGAAAAAAAATCAGACTCTGGGTTGTCTACTCGAGAACAAAGTGAGTATTTGATTCAAATCAAACCTACTGCAGTGATAGTAACAATTTTCAGACAAACTTTCAAGGAATCCATGTCAATATATTAAACTGATGATCACTTGGAAAGAATTTCCATCGCTAACAAAAAGTTTTATTCTTCTGGTAAACTGGGTAGCCTTAAGCCGACAAGATCTTTTTTTTTTATCAAAGACAAAAAACACACTGTGTACACAGTGTGACTCTATTAATTAAGGCGAAACTAAAAAGCCAATCAACATGCCAGCCACTTCTTTAAAGATATTCACTTCATGAAAAGTTTCCTTTTTTTGTAATCAAATGCAAATCTCTAAAACTGCTAGTATCAGAAGATTTACATTTAGGTACATCTAATTTATTTAAAAATTATACATTACAAATTAAACAAATAAGAAATACAATAACCTTTGGAATTATCAACATGTAAATTGTCTTCATGATATGACCTCTTTACTCAACAAAATGAAGGTAAGATTCAATCATCAGATAAGTTTCAATTGGAAACAGTATCTTCGTTTATAGAAAAAAAAAGTAGAAAAATTATCATTTAAAATTATTTCACAAAGCAACAAAACATGTGTATAGCAGCTAAAAGAGAGACTTACAGATCTGACCTTGGGGGTGTAACAAAAGACATGCGCATTGTATAGATTTTCATACTTCATTTTTAACAATTAACTTTAAACCAATTTGTTTATACTACAAATTTCAAATAGAAAGAGGTTGTTGAAACTCAAGGCAATATTACATGTAGGATCCTAACTGATGGAATTCAGGTCTTTACAGTGGGTTAATATTTCTAAGAATTTGGTTTTAGGAATGTGGTGTTCACACAAACACACATAACTGAGCTGGAGGTCTGTATGGGAGAATCTTGACCGAAGTCGCCAGTACAGACCGAACGCAGCGAGGTCTGTACCAGGGACCGAGATCAAGTTTCTCCCATACAGACTGAACTAGCTCGGTTAATGAGATGTTTATTATATGGCCGTGTCTGATGTGCCAAATTTTATATTCTTTGTACCTTTTTCTTCTAGACTGGTCTAGATGGGAAAATCTAGACCACTTTCAATATTGATTTCAGCCAATCAAATTCATGAATTTGGTAGTTCCCAGTCTGCCTTGTGAGACACAGCCATATATTAACACTGCTTATTTCATATTAAGCTTTGTTATTCGCTTGGCCCGTGTGGTTAAAAAAAGTGTTGATACGTTCACAACAGGAGAAAATGCAAACTGATTGTTGCATGCCAAAATAATGGGGACAGAGAATTTTTGACACAAAGCCAAGCATTGCATAACAAGTAGATTTTTGTTAAACACATTACAAGCTGCCCTGTGCCCTATTTTCACATTTTACAAATAGTTTACACAACAATGAGATTGTGTTACTCAACCACTGCTGTGACATGCATTTTCAATTATTGTTTTCATGGTTATGTCCACCAAACTGAGTGAAAATCATTGTTACAGCTGATAACATTCCAAATAAGAAAGAAATCAGAATTTTCAATTCATTTCAGAATTTCTTGTTATATAAATAGCTGTGAAACATGAATGAATAAGGAGAATTTTACTTCAGTTATTTGGCTTGTGTACAAGTATGCACTTTGAAATCTAATTCTTAGAATTTCAGTAGTACTTAACTAATTAGCAATCTTTGGTTAAAAGTTTAAGGGAGATCAAAGGATGTACAAACCTGCAACAAAAACAGAATTAAGCAGTTCTTTTCAAGGTTTAATGTTACAAAGGTTGTGCATAATTGGTATTGTAAAAAAAAAACCCAAATTCTTTACTAATAAAGCTGTCCCATCTGTGATTTTTTTTCTTAACTGTGACCCCAATCCCGCAAGAACCTTTAAGTTAACTTTAAGGTTAAAACTGATTCACCTAGGACCAGTTAGCTTGCCTAATAGCACACACACACATTAAAGGCGACACATGGCTTTATTAAACAAAACAAAAGCATTTTTATATCCTGTTAAATACTCAGTTGGAAACCACAAAGGAAATGGGAGTCCTGGTTGTAGCATGTATTAATATCACATTGCATTTTTGTGGTCCAAAGTGATTGGAATCTTTTCTATTTGGCACCTTGTTTTGATCATATGATAACACAAGGCTCACTGCATGTCGCCCGCAGCCAAATTGATGAAACAACCTCTGATCACGAGTTTGTTCTAGAAGGCAATACATTCATGCAGATTACTGTATAACTTATTTTTTTTTATGGAAACCAAATTTAAGGATATCACTTGTCAAAGATCAAAGAGATTTAGTATGATTCAAGCACAAAATAATCTAAAAGTAATTGCTTTAAAATTAATTTAAGTTACAAGATAGTCATCTAAAAATGACATCATCCCCTTATCTCCTGCAATCTCACGTTCTATTCAAGTATTTAATCCAGAGATGTTAATTACTCCCACATCCTCAAATGCCAAAATTAGAAAAAAAAAAAGATTCAGCAGATTCATTAGCAAAGATATGGAAATTTCAATCAATGTTCCAACTGTATATATTATCAAGAGAGTTCAAATGCAACATATTCCGTAAAAAGGCAAATAACAGCTTGTTGTTTCATGAAAGTGGTCACGCTTGAAGGAATAAATTCTTTTGTGGTATTATGGAAATTACGTCTACTTACGTCTGATACTTCAATCAGGTTGAAGACAAGAGAATTGTTTCAGATCATGCAAAGAGTTACAAGCAAGATATCTAAATTTTTTTCCAATGAGAGATGCAATTAGGACCAGAAGCAAATTTGATTGATCCCAATTTCCTAGTAACAGTAAATTTCATTATTGGTATTCCTTTTTCCGAGACAAAACATTTAATGAATAAATTTTAAAACAATGGATTTTAGAAAGATAAATAATAGGAAACACCTGCTTAAGAAGTTAAGAATGATCAAATAAATCTTTAATCACATTTAAGTCAAACTGGCAATATCTATATTTCAGGCAGATCACATCTACACAATTTTTGTAGAAATAAAGGAAATTGCAACCTTACCATTGAGATCTTTGAGATGCAGCACTGCTCTAGTGGTGTTGTGGATTAAGTGAAGTGCCCAGATTGATGTGTCCTCCATATTGACATAAACCCGAGCATTTATATTCATAAGGCAAACCAGGCGATATAAGGCAAGACAGCTTGGAATGGGTTCAAATCCAAATCCATGGCCACGCAGTGAGTCGTAATTAGCATCAAATGCAACACCCCCCTGAATCCAGAGCTCAGGAAAGGTAGGCATACAGTCATGAAACACCCACATAGTATTGTTTATATCATAGTTTACAAACAAATGGGGGACATCATTGTTATTTACAACTGTCCACATCCCAGCCACTTCTGCTTGAATTTTGTGCTGTTCCTCAATATCCCAGTGATTGCTGCTGATGAAGTATTCACAGTTACTGACATAACCAGTGTCAAAGCCTCCCTCCGATTCATCATCACTGTCAGTGGTGCTACTGGCGATCATACGTCTAGACTTGGTCTCCTTTCTATCAAAAGAAAATTGATTACTGATGCTTCTCAATGGCGATCTTGGGCTAGATAACCCACAGCTAGACAATGAGGATGTTGCAGAGTTACATCTACTACCAAGAAGTTTAGGAGGGGACAGGTACAATTCCTTAAACGTACTCACCCCCATAGGGTGCATCAGAAAATGAGGGTGGGTAAGTAGTGTGAGAAGTTCAAGCGCATCTTCTCTGAAAGCTGCCGATGTTGGACTGCCGTTGGACAAAGTACACGACATTGCAGCTTTCCAATCGAAAACTTCGAAATGAATCCCCGTTTCTCTGTGCTTCAGACGGTATCGCCATATGCGATAAAAAGTTAACCCAGTTTCCTCCGTTGCATAAGCACGAAAAAGACAAAGCCAACGAAACATAACCATGCAACTCGGAATAACTTGATACGGTCGAATGTAGCGTGCAGGTTTTGTCGAAGCTTTCATTTTGCCACTAAACCAGTCATCGTTGTATCCTCGCCGCTTGTCGATGAAAGTCCACTTTAGATCGTGAGTGTCAAAGAATAATTCGAAGTTCTTATTGAAACCTGACGTGTTAAACTCGTCTTCCTGCTCAAAAACATCCGGAACTTCCCACTTCATCATGGTTCCCGCCATGTGCAAGAACATACTTTCACGCAATTCAATCTCGGTCAACTCGTCACCACTAACACAACAACAGATGAAATATTTCATATAATCGGCTGTATAGTTCCCCCTTTGGGACAACTCTTGATAAGTATTCATCCAGTTGACGCAGGATAAAGACACTTTCTCGTACAAAAACTTCTGCGATGGCCACCTCAATAATACAAGTCTTCGCCAAAGGGACGGAGTCTTAGCGATGCTCCTCCACTGTTTACAAACCCACGAACACTTCGTCAGAGTTGGTCCATCGAGATATCCAAATATATGAAGAAGAATTTCGTCTAAAAACACAGCCATAACTTTTTCACGATGTTGACATAAGAAAAAATAGAATTGCGCGCTACCTTCGACTGCGTCTCGACCAGTTTTTGTTCTCGTCACGAGGTAATGGTTTTGTTTACTTCGCCACAACCGGAAGTCGACCTCGTCTGAAGGAAAGTACCGGAGGTGACGTTTCCGAAGTCTCGACGAATTTATGCGTCTTGATTTCCGGCCAGCTCTCCGCTAATTTTCGGAAATCGAAGTTACTCTCCGCAAGAGCGAACTGTACTGTAGGCTCAGTTGGTTGGGGCAGTGGAAGGAAATGGCTGACTGCGATTGTCATTATATTACTTAACTTTTCCACGTGGCATAAATCCTTTTCCTCTTTAAATATATTTTCTATAAATTATTGCAATTTTCTTAAACAACACAGCCAAGGCGAAGGTAAAGTCGTCGGCTAATTTTCTTTGCTCCATACTAGTATTATTATCATTGTGGTTAAGCGAGCTCAAAGCTTGACGTGGCACATCGACCGTTGGGGAAATCAATTTATCAGTCCTTGATTTGTTTGACTGAAATTTCATTTTCTTTGTTCCTTCATTGAACACTAGTGTAAACTACCAAGAAGAAATTCTGTAGAGAACAATCCCCTGCAGAACGGCAACGCAAACATCTTTGAAAATCAATGGTCGAATATATTTATTTTAATTTATACTGGTGTTTGTCTTTAATGATAGGTGTACTTTGCAATTCAGTTGAACAATCATGACAATATTGCATCGATCTGACTATTGTTTTTCCTCCATATTACTTAAATTACACTCTTTATACTGGCCCGCCCGCATCAGATTTAGCCCACCACATTTATTTGTATGGAAGTACTGTTTTATAAGTTATATACCAATGATTTCCCCTCCCCTATACTCAGCCACTTTTCTAGAACTTCAAATTTATAATAAGCTCCCTTATTCTTTATGTGATGTTCGTCAAATCTGGGCTACAGTTTAGAAAGAAACTATATTTTGCATTCTATAAATTACTGCTTCCCTCTCTAATTATCTCCCTGCTCTCATTATTTGACACTAAGGTTCTGTTCGAGACAATCTACTTTTATTTAGGTGAAGAATACCTTAGATGATATGGCAAGGTCTTTGCTCTGGAAAGATCTGGTGGTTTTTGCTAAAATTAGCTTGGAATCAGTTGTGGAATTTTTCCGAATTGTTGCCTTTGCATTAGTGCACAGGTCATGCATGATTCATTCCTCTTGGAAAATAACTTTAGGGATGAGAAATTTTAAGTTTGCATTATTTGTAACATCATTTCTTTTTTCAACCATAGCTTAGTTATGAATTTTTTTAATACACTAAAGTGTTTTGTTCAGTTCACTTCTGGTCTGGATGACATCTTTGCTTGCCTTTTTTTTCTCCTCCAACTTTGCCAATAGTCTATCCCTTGCTCAATATTTGTGACAGAGGACTTGATTTGTTCATTTGTTCTTTTTCTTTATAGAGACCTTCAAGTAAGAGCTACCTCAGTGATCCACAGAAATATGCTTGTGATTGTATACGTCTCATTTGGTGTTCTTTCTGCACTTTGTGGCATTTTCCACTTTTGGTGCAAAACAGGTCAAAGAGATGAAATGGTGATAGCAAACCCTAACTTCGTCTCATTCCAAAACAGTTACTTCAAAGTTTACTTCCTAGCTTTAATGGCTGAATGGCTACAGGGACCATACCTTTACAAACTGTACAGTCACTATGGCTTCATTGACACGCAAATTGCCATAATTTATGTGTGCGGCTTTGCTTCAAGTGTTGTGTTTGGAACATCAAGTGGATACTTTGCAAGTGTGTTTGGTCGCAAGAAGGCGTGTGTGGTTTTCACATTACTTTACTCTTTGTGTTGCCTAACAAAGCTGTCAAGAAACTATGGTATTCTAATCCTTGGAAGAATTCTGGGTGGGGTCTCCACTTCCTTGTTATTCACAGCTTTTGATGCATGGTACTTGTATGAACACACACAGACCCACAATTTTCCTAGTGAGTGGGTTTCTGCAACATTCGCCAAAGCAACACTCTACAACAGCATCATCTCTGTTGTAGCTGGGATTTTAGCCAACACCATAGCTGAATGGATGCCCTTTGGACCGGTGGCCCCTTTTGTCCTTGCCATACCATTTCTTATTGCAACTGGGATTTTGATTCAATTTACATGGGATGAAAATTATGGTGGAAAGAACAACAAAGTCATTCAGCCATGTATTGAGAGCCTACGACACATTGTAACAAACAACAAAGTCATGTCTATTGGCATTGTAACATCACTTTTTGAGAGTGCCATGTACATATTTGTTTTTTTGTGGACTCCTGTTTTGGACAGAGGGCATTTGTATCCCCCTTTGGGAATTATCTTTTCATGTTTCATGTTGTGTGTTACACTTGGAGGGTTTCTCTTCAATTTTACCATCAAGCTAGGCATAAACCCAGCCAATGTTGTGATTTTAACTGTTATTGTAGCATCTGGGGCAAATATCGGTGCAATTTTTTCCAGTGCTCAGAATCCACGTTTATCATTTGTTATGTTTATCATCTTGGAACTAGCTTGTGGAGTTTACTTCCCAGCAATGGGATGGTTGAGGCAAAGGATTCTACCTGAGGCACACCATGCTGGTATTATAAACTGGTTCAGAGTACCCCTGAATGCTATTGCAGCAATTGTTTTGATGGTACTTCACGACACTCATAGCATTCATGGTATATCTGCAATATTTGCCCTTTGTTCCTTATTGTTGGCTGTGGCAGGAATTGCCGCTGTAAGACTCTCCATCCTGTCAAGAAATGATGAAAATCTGAAACTTGTCCATGATATGGAAGAAGGACTTTGAAGAACTTATCAGAAATACCGTATTTATTCACTTATAAGGTGCACCATTTTTTATGAGAAAATATTCTTTTTTGATCAAAATATGCTCAAAACTTGGGGTGCGTCTTATAACCGAGTATTTCCGCAAAACTTTCCATTTGGAAACTTGGCTTGACTAAGTTGCCAAGTTTGGGGTGCATCTTATAACTGAGTGCGTCTCATAACCGAATAAATACAGTTCATTGCTTTCAGAGAAAGTGAATTCTTTATTTCAAGTTCATGGGGGGGTTGACTGAGCAAACTGTGGGGCTGCTTAAGTCATGAAGCTCACTTAAGCTAATCATGGAAACATTTCAGTTAATGAAGTGGCTGAACAGCACTCTGTTATAATCTTTACCTAACTTAATCCTTTAACTCCTGGAAGTTATGAAAATGTATCTTCTCCCGATAATATCCACGCATGATCCAGCAAACAGGTAATAAGAATACTCAAACTTGTCGGGTAGAAGTTGTTAATCTTGATCTACACCAAATTCTTGTTACTAATTTACTAGGAAATAGCTTGAGGGAATATTACTAATCAGATCTTTCACCTTTTGCTCAAATGGGCAACTTACCAGCTATTCTCGATTACACTTAAGTTATTCATCTACCTCTCTATTTGATGGCAGATACAGTAGCACTTGCTGGCCTGAGATAATGTAGCGAGCTGAAAGAAGCCATGACACAACAGAGGAAATTTGACAGATTATGTTCACCCTTAACATTGAAAACCTGAAATCCTTTAGAGGATTGATAGGAATGGTAGACTAAGTGAATTGCGGGAACTTCAATTGATGATAAACACAGGGCTAAAAAATGCCTCCCCCCTCCCCAACACACGCCATGCTTTTCCCCTACTTCCATTAGCTTTATTAAACATCACTTTCCTAAGTCCAGCCCCCTTTAAATTATATCAGATAGACTTACTTGTACCATTGTCTTGGTAGTTTTAATAGTCGGAGGAAGTTACCCATGTGGAAATTGAAATGCTTTCAGTGCAATTGTATTTAAGTTGAGTGGATGCTCGGTATTTATTTGCACAAGTTTTGGCTGCCCTACTATAGTGTTAAAGCAAAGGAAGTTTCAGAAGCTAAAGAATTTTCTACCGAAGGGGTGGTCAACTGTTGCCATGGCCACCTTTAAATCAAATGTGGAAGCTTGACAACCTAAAAAAGTCATGATCTCAATTATTAAAACCACACTTTAGGCTAAAATGGCATTAATCACTTTCTTTTATTCTTGTATATTATGTGTTATATTATCCAACTGTATATCGCAGAGTACAAATAATGGGCAAGACAAGTACAAATGTGATGTGATGCAAATATCATGCGATATTTGTACTCCAGAAATATCCATGAAATTTGCACTGAAATAACAGTTTAGTGTGTTGGATAATAAATCTCTTACTAGATGTTTTGTCGTGTAGTATCACTAAGTATTTGTACTCTTTGTTTTTTTTTACTTGCCCTATGGGCTCATTAAAATACAGCACAACTCATAAAAACACTTAACGATACTACACAACAAAATGCCTACTATAAAGATATAATTATTTATTTAAGGCAACTTCATTAACTTGCAATTTCTTGTCACTAGCAGTGCCAACATAATGGAACTAGTGGATGACAGCGTGCACTGTGTTAGTTATTCAGTACATATAATTGTTTAGTACCCTTGAGGTATGACTTAGTGGAAACCAAAGATATTATTGTCTAGCACAGCCCAGAAATTGTTTTCTTGAAAATATATTTATATGACAGCTTAAAACCTAATAAAAACATAACATGTAGATCGTTATGGTCACTGGTTCAACCTATCTTTGGCTAAGACTCAAAAATGCCTGGTATCAAAACTTGTCATGGCATTGTAAGAGGATAATATTTAGAGTCACCAATAAAAAATTGTGACAACAGACATTACTGTGTTCTTCTATTTGCTTTCAGGTTTGTTATACTACATATATACATGTGTGAGCCTGCCAAAGAAGCAAATGAATTTTTCCACCCTACATACAAATTAGCAGTTTACCATCCTTAGGATGGTAAACATGAATACATTAGAACATAGACGTATTGAACAATCTGATATTTTTTAAATGTCCAGACTATATAGCCAATTTATTCAAACCCCGAGTTACACCCTCTAATCTTATAAGTAGTGGTCTAAGCATAGTACAAACTTCGTATAATAGCAGATTCCTTCATGGCTCATATGCATATATGATCTTGCGTATTAATTTTGAAACCAGTTACCATCTGCTGTAAGAAATGCATCTAATGCATCATCCTTCCAGAGACTTTTAACAAAGTTAAATTCATTGGCTGTCAATGCAGTGGTTGCCTTTGATTTGATTTTTCTTTTTTTTTTTTTTTATCATACATCATATTTTATCATACATTATTTTTAATTTAATTGGTGCTATTACAATTTCGGCTTTCTTTTATATTGTCAAACACTTTTATCATGAGCCTCTGGCTGGGTGGATTGGGAGACCACCCTCTGTGTATTTTTTGACATTAAATAAATGATCTTATCGATCTTATCTTTCATTTTCCCAAGGATCGGACCTAAACTTTCAAACAAAGTCCTTCCATTCTGGTTTGCACTCAATTAACATTTCACACCCTCTCCCAATAAGGATAATTAGTTTAACAATCAAGTGCATCTTTAGTTTGAGATCATTTCCTATATTCTCATGATCATAATGTTTGATTCAGATGTTATGCAGTAGGGAGAAATTAGAGGCTAGCCATTCTAAAAAATGGTTGAAGTGTCTTGTTTTAAGATCAAATAAGAAATATTGTATGTGTATTCTTCTAGTTTAGCAATCAAGGGGTTTTCCAGTTGATGATCATTTCCTTTATTCATGTGACTTTAATGTGTGATCCAGGGGTGAAATTGTAAGAAGAAACTAGATGCTGGTCACTCTTAATTTTAACTCCCATGAGTGACCAAGACAGAATTTCTCCTTACAATAGCAGGCCAACAAGTGATGAAAATGAAGGTAAATATCAACCAGTGGATTATTAGTTGATCCAATTCAAAATTCTCCAAAGTCACACAAGAACTGTACAGCACACTGTGGGAAGAATTACTCAAAAGATCATGGGAGTGAAAGGGTTAAAGGTCAAAGGGTCAAAAAGCTTCCCAACGGGGTATTGATGGCATTCTTAAAAATGTAGATTTCTCAGGGTGGGGGTAAAACAATGGATGGGCTTCGATTTGACGAGGTGATAGGAAACATCCTTGCTTAAAAACGAAAGTAGTTCTGACCAGCAATTGAAAAATGTTAGCTCTAGGACTCAAATTGTATTGCCGGCACGCTTGTTCCAAGCATTTGACCAAATAATTCCACATCTTTCTAAGAAATTAATTTTTATTTTGTCTAAATTGTGTTACGAAACATCTTGTCTTTGACTAAATTCCTTTTCATCCGATTCATAATTCCTATCCTCGCCCTACTCAAGTAAAGGATTGTTGAGCAATGGCAACTCAAAGTTTTGACGAAAGGTTTCTGCACGATTCTCGCACAACTTCTCGCAAGATTTCTCGCGCGAATCTCGCGCTATCACGTCCTCATTTCACATGATGATATGTCAGATACGCCCATGTAATAACAGCGGGTAAGGAGATTGGGTGAAATCATTTCTACTCAAGAATAAGATCTCCCACAAATAATTCTTTAGATATAAATCACTGCCAGCTCTCCAGAACACTTTCATATTCATCTGGTGAGATGAAGGGTTCATCCACAGATCTAAGAAAGACATGAAAATGAAGTTAGTGTTGTAGGAGTTTTAACTGAGGTAACCACAACAAAAGCTATCACAACAACATATCAAAACAAAGGTTGCCGTCGTCATTACCCAGGGGTAACTCAAATTCAAAACAGGACAACCACAAAAAATGCTGGAAAATGCGGGTGTACCCATTCACGACTGGTTTTCGTTTTACGTTACAGAGGGACGTAACGTAAAACCAAGGTAGTCTCGGATAATTTTCTACACTGGCTCCATCTGCTGTCGCGAAGTTCTAACAGTAGCGTGGACTTCGCTGGTAGATATACGCGGTTTTACACCTTGAGATACCTTAATAACTAGGTTGTTTAGAGTGAAAAATGATCTGACTTTAAGTAAGTTACCTCTTCATGGATTTCACAACAAAAAACAAAACAAAACAAAACAAAAAGACAACAAAAACTACCTACGAATTATATAATGTTCTTACCTTATCATAATTTCTCCACAGTAAATACATTCAGATGCCATCAGGTCATCCAGCTCATTCTGGGAAAAAGTGAAAACATCAAACGGCAATTTTCTACGATTTTAAGTCTTCGAGGTAACGGAGCAAATTCACTCTATTACGTTTTCCAGAAATATAAAGGTTTTTTTTTCTCTGTTTTGTTTGGTTTGATTCTTGTCCCTGTTTTTGCTCTTTAGTTTGTTTTTCATTCCAGCATTAATGTTAAAAATGAATAAAGCTTCAGCGGTGCTTGCACTACTGACAAGGAAATCACATTAGTGTCACAACCAGCAACGAGTTTTCCAACGCCATGCACCGATAACTTGCTAGGTCTCAGTGATCTTTTCTAATTGGTTTGTAGGTATGTCAAGAGTCGCTTTCATTTAAATCTTTCACAACCCATGAGAGACGAATGAGTTATTTAAGCAATAGAACGCATTTTCCGGGCTTTTTTTTAAAGAAAAAAATTAAAGAGTAATTAAGAGTATTCTGACCGACACAAAGGAGAAATGCGAATTTATTTTGAGATCTTATCAGTGACTGGCTTACATAACTCACTGATTGCAAGGTGCCCTCACGACTGAACGCAAAGCACTTTAGAATGACTGTAACAATTTCAAAATACCTTGAGAGATTCTCGTGAAGTCGATGAAACTGAGGAGGAATCAGTTCTTGACGTCGCATAGAGCTGGTTAAATAGTTCTTGGACCTTTGCCCTGAAAGTGGTATAAACAGGTGTCTTTACCTTAACGAGCAAATCTTGGAGGGGGTGACAAATAAACTTGTTGTATGATGATATTTTAAGGATATCTATATACACTCTCTAATCTGATCACATAAGTAAATTTACCATTTCTTCTCCAGTTCGGACTGCTCTCTACACTAAAAAAGCTTTTCCCAAAGAGAGAAATTTCAAAACGCCTTTTTTGAGGTGCACTGTGAATAACTCAAGATGGTGTCTTTGGAAAAAACAGACGTCAATTTAGTCATGTGATCTCTGCTCCTCTGGCGACCATATGTGCGCATGCTCTGCTTTTTGTCTAGGAGCTCTTGGGGAAAGAGAATCTCTACACATTTTAGAATCGGCAGGGGGTAAAGAAAAAATTATGAGACGAAATATATAACTAAGTTTCGCATATGTCCTGTGAGCGAAAATTCTCGTACCTCTGTTTTTCTTTAAGATATGGTAAAATCTGCAACAAGAGGTGAAAGTCAGATAGCATCATTAACACAAAATAAAGGATAATATCTAAGGGCAAGTAATGTTGATAGCTACATCTATGTTGTCACAAATTGATGCATCTACAAATCTGGTTATTTCCCTAGCATAGGATGCCACTCAAGTTCACCTCAGGAAGTACTGATCAGCCATTGAATGTTTCCTCAGAATTAACAGCAACAAATTTATCTTAACGATTAGTGTGCAATACTAATGTAGACAACGTCCATGGAAGTTCACAAGGGACAGATCCAAACCACTTCAAGCGCTCTTTATATCGTGTAAAATACCAGCTTTACTGGAGATTATAAAAAGTTCAGTTGTCCGGTTCAGTTACCAATAACGTCAGAACTGTAAAGAGAATCTTGGGTAAAAATGGTGGATCAAGCTCGCGAGGCAGAGGCTAACAAAAATTAGCGCACTTAAAATTAACGCGAATTCCTGATTGGCGCAGTTTTCAAATGACTGCCGTAAAACTAAAACCAAAGTTATCACAACAGCCAATCATAACAAAGGTATGCGTCATCAACAGCCAATAAGGACTCAAAGTAGAAACGACGAACTACCAAAAGCGCGGGAAAACGCTAGCAACAAAGTCACGATTGGCCGGCCGCGTTTTCCCGCGCTGTTGTCTGTTTTGGTTTTTGCTTGGCGTCTGATTAGTTTAAAGCATGGCGCGAGTTTTCGAGAACAATCACAGACCAAAGTAAAGCAAAGCCAAGGCAATCCTGGACTACTTTCGACACCACGATAAAAATTGCTCTTAAGTATGTATTGAAAGATCAAATGCACACCTCGTTCTTTAGACAATCTGAATGGAAGGCGTGATGGCAGGGAAACACATAAAAGCCTCTTGTAAGCAGTGGATATAAACAGATCGAACACTTCTCCTGAGCTGGCACAATACTGTATCTGAAATGATTCGTGAAAAAGAAAGAAAAAATAGGTCAAAATCTATATCAATGGCAATACCACCGACAGAGCCCCTAATGAAAAAGTTAATAGATTAAAAACCCCCGTAACATTTTTTATGGCTACTACATGCACTACATTAATTTAACTCACTTATTTCTCATTTCATGGATGTCTCCTCGTATGGTTCTAGCGCTTTCTGTAGCTTCCTAATAAAAGAAAAATAATTGACACTGTTTTACTAAGAAGTGCGCAATCAGAATAACATCAAAACCCTCAATAACCCCGGGACGCTATGCAAGGGAGATTTAAAGTTTCTATGAACACAAGCCACAAGATAATATCTTTCCATAGGGGTTTCAATAAAAGCCAGTCTACTGCCGCCTTAAGACCCCTCACAGCTGTCCATTTAGCCTGCAACCAAGCACTTGAGTTTCGGTTACGCCTTACGACCTCTTTTCAAGCACAGACGTCAAGGACGTCCGCGGCAGCCGTTTATGGAAAATGTTATTGAAACCCTTCTTTCTGTGATGCATCATTTTTCCATCGTCACGTTTTCATGGTTGAACCATTAACAACAGAACAATTACAGAAGGCGTTTGATCAATTAACAGGAATAATTATCTCACTTACTTGCATTTCGCTTTTTAGTTCTTCGATGTGTTGATTGTACTCATGAAGTGACGAGCAAATAGCATCCTAAAATGAAAAATAAGTTTTAAGTACGAGAACTACATCATTCTTTGAACAAGGAATATCGCAAAAAAGGAAATGTTTTTGCCACCAAAGTTAACAAAAAACAACAACAATAATAACGAATAAACTTCATAGAAAAAAAAAATTATATATAATTAAAACTTCTCGTACAGAACAATATTTTTCGGAATTAGAAGGGTATGTCTAAACGGAAGGGGGTCTCCCTAGAAGCAAAGCGTTATTTCGAGCATTTTAAGTAGAACCACCGTATTACTAGTGAGAAGTCTAACCTTGAAATGATCAATGGTAACAAAATCCTGGAAAAATGGAAGGATGTCTTCAATTTTTAAAAGTTCACTTTGGTTCAAAAACTCCATTGCCCTACAAAAAAAAAAAAAAAAAAAGCAAACAACAATTCTAACATGAGCATGGGAATCAGACATAAACCATCAATTTTGTGATTCAAACAACACAAATACTTCATCAAATTGCCCAGGAAGCGCCAATATCGGCATCAATAGTGTTCTCACTATCAGCAGGAATAGCTACAAGTCTCACAAAGTATTGACCTGAATCAAGCCATCACTGTGTTCTATTTTCAGACTGTCAAAATGGAATTTTTAATAACACGTCCAAAGACCAAAAGCAAAGTTATGAAAGAAACCAATAAGAAGAAAGGCAAATGTCATAAAGACAATTAGGTACTTAAAGAAAAATCAAACAAGCTTGTTAAGACGCGATGCAAAGACATTTCTCTATAGCAGCATATCAATGAAACCACATACAACATAATGTGCTTTATTTTTTTTTTTTTCAGGAAGATTCCAGTAAGGACGAAAGAAAAAAGAAAGAAGAGTACAGGTGCTTACTACCCATGAAAATTCCAACACGATAATCAGGTAGGCCACTTTACTGTAATTAGTGAGATACGTTCAGAAATGTATGCAATAACGAAAGCGTCAGATTTGAAAAATTTTGTTGACGACTTTGACAGATTTGACGAAATGCGCGAAAATTTTGTAAAAAGTGGCGATTCTGACGAAATTTCCTCAAGGTTGCTGACCAAATCCTAGAAAAAACCCTGCCATTTTCGTTACAGCATTTCTGGAAATACGTGTAGTTTACGTGTAATGTACTGTACATTTACTTTTTCACATCTCCTTCTTCTTCCACCACATGCCGAGCAATTCTAAGCCAGAGTTTTTTCCTTAACACCTCGTCATCCTCCGAGGGCTTCTGCGCTTGAATCTTGGCGAGATCTACATCGACCTCAAAAACAAAAACACAAAAATCGCAAATAAGAGTGAGCTCTTAATGGTCCCTACGTACCAGGGCACTGTTGTCCGAAGGCCGATTAGCGCTAACCCAGGGTTAAATTTTAATCTCAGTTTTTGTATTTCTCTGTTCAAAGGCCGTTTTGAGATGATTTTCCCAACTCTTGTTAGAGCATTCAATCATCAAATTGTAGATAAATGGAATTAAACTGAACTTTCTCTAAAGCTTTGAGATCTGAAATCAAATTTCACGCTAACCCTGGGTTATCTCAACCCAGCTTTGAACAACGCGGTTCAGATGAATTGACCCTTTACACAACATCAGTATGAACAGAAATTAGATGCTAGTAACTCCCAGGGAATTGAAGGATCAAAGCGTCTTGTGTAGAGAACGAGTAAGAAATTATTAGATTTTACATGTACTCACCTTTAACGACAAATCAACAGCTTCTTCAAAGAGTCCCATGGTACTGTAGATGTGCACACAAGCTTCCTGTTTGTCATGTTCTGAACAGAGTCTCAAGGCGTACTTCATGTCATAACAAACTTCTTCAGAATCCTGGAGAGACAGGAATCATTATAATCGGCTTAAGCGTAACTGAACAAAAACATAAAAAACATAACAGACAAACAAGTAAACAAATTCGATAAAAAAATGGTTGAGAATGATTACTCAGGCATCAATAAAAATAGCTGAAGGGTGATATTCAGCTCAATTGGTAGAGCGCTGCACTAGTATCGCAGAGGTCAGTGGTTCGAATCCCGTACAGGCCTCATTTTTTTTCAGGTCTGATTTTCGCTATTGCATAAATAGCGCTCTCTACGGCGAGGATCGTGCATCATACGTATCTAATACCGCAGTTCAAATATATGAACCAAAATTAATACCATTAACAATTTTGTTTTTTTGCTGCATGTGGAGTATTGTTTGGGAAATTTCTATACAGTTATGCATACGGTACGGCGTCATGTGGGAATGTTTTTGAACAAACCTTTTAAGTCAATCCATGTTAGCATCCTGGTGTTATTGTTATATATTTTAATTACACTACTGACGCAAACTGTTTATTCACTTTATCTTAATTCTATTGTAAACAACCCGAACAGCTGAAAAGTTGAAATGATATCAGCTCTACAATTGACTGAATTAGTTAAAACAGGTTGAAAGAGGAAAATCCTCACATTCTTTATGTTCATGAGTTAATTCTTCGCATCAAATGCTAAAAGAATCAGCGAACAAGGTCATCAATTATTCAGCTAGCAAAAACTTTTTATAGTGCGTGGAAAAGTTTTGTGAAACGCGAGACTGACAAGAGTTCGTACGTGACATGAAGAACTCGTCTTGTGATATATTGGTGTTGCAGTTCTTCCCCTCAACAACCGAAGCTGAACATCTTCGTTCAACGTACATCGCTAACTGCGCGTTCAATATTTTTCTCTGCTACACCGCTGTCATGATGAACATTGCAACAATCTATGCGATAAAAAAGACGTCATGTTTACCAAAGACTCTGGAAACTCTTCTTATAAGTCTCGCCGCCTCAGATATTGGTGTGGGTTTACTGAGCCAACCTTTCTACACCTGGCTTCTTTTCCAGGGACTATCCAAAACGATCCCCGGCTGTGGCACGTACATGGTTTTCGATGCGATCATCGGCCTGTTCACGATAATGTCTTTTCTGGGTGTGCTTGCTGTAAGTGCAGACAGATTTCTGGCGATCCATCTTCATCTCAGATACCAGGAGCTTGTGACTCACAAACGTGTTCTTACGTCGGTGATTTCTCTATGGTTAGCGAGTATGGTCGTCTCTGTAGCAGCACTATGGCTTTCGCCCGATGTCAAGTACCTAATTGTGTGTGCAGGAGGGCTCGTTGGTTTTCTTCTAACAACGATTGCTTACAGTAAGATTTACATAACTGTGCGTCGACTTAAAAATGATATCGAGGGTGGCGAAGTGCAGCAAGAAGCATATAATCGAGAAGGGATCAATTTTGCGAGCGTCCTTAAGACTACAGTGGGTACATTTTACGTATATCTCGTATTCTGGGCGTGTTATGCACCTTTCTTCATCTCCACGTTTTCTATGAAAATCTACGGCCGTACCATCCCCTTGAAGGGATTTTTTGTCTGGTCAATAACCCTTGCATATGTCAACTCGACTTTGAATCCTGTAATTTACTGCTGGAAGATGAGGCACATTCGAAACGCCATTATAGATACGCTGCGAGGAATTTGTTTGGTCAGCAATAAAGCAGCATCACTCCAATCGTCGCGAGCCATACGAACCGAAAGTGTGGTACACAATACGCTTGCTGACACGATGGCACATTGCCATGAATCTTTGTAACAACCTACATAAGAATGGATAAAAACCATGAATGTGGAGCTTGCTGTGTACGTGCTCCTGGGCAGGCCAAGGAGGAAGTTCACCTGCGCCTAACAGTCAGACAATATATTTCTGACCCTTCGTAAAATGGCGTTTTACGTGATGTAACCAATATCTCGAACAAATTCATTGAGAACACTAATTGCTTGATAATGGACGGAAAGGACTAAAAGTAAAGAACTCCGATAAACAAGATATCTACCGGTAGCTTTTATATATTCTTAAGGGGATAGTTACCCTGACAAAAGACTTCCTAATTTGCGCCCTATGAGTGGTCAACGTTTATTACCCTGGAGGCTTTTTACACGCAAAATTCTCGTTTTTGCCTTTTATAAGTCATTGCATAGCTTTTTCTTTTTTTTAAAAGGGTGAATATTCTCAAAAAATTTTCGGTTTTGATGTTTCTCTTTCTCTAAATCTTCCTGTGTTGTGGTTTCTAATAAACCACACGCTTTCCTTCAGCCTCGCTTTCTAAAAAAGGCCGTTACTGGAAATTCGTGAACCACAACTAAAATATTTTCGTTTTTCTTTCGACGAACCAGCGACGTTTTATGTCTTGCGGCTCGGGACGACCTTCACTTCGGCTGGAACCACTATCTTCGATTTGACGAAATATATAATATTTGCAAGTAGAGTATTCAGTCGAGTTCTACAGACAGAGCAGAATACAAAGATTTGCAAGTAGAGTAAGAATCAGTGCCCTAAACAGATGTCAACAACTACCCGCTCCATACAAACGACTCATTCACGACATAAACATCACAAACGACCGAAAAAGAACGACCTAACTTTACCGACAGATCGAAACAGACCAATCACGACCGACTTACGTCACTTGAGTCTTACAGCCAATAACATCACGGCAAAACCAACCGATCATTTCACACGAACTGGAATAAGAACATTCTACTGACAACGATCATTCACTTGACTCTGATGATGACTTCCGCACAGGTTGTCGAAACGTCAGTCACTACCACCGACAACAGTCCTTCTCAGGACTACACTCACCCGGACGATTAGACTACACCTTCACATGGTTCTTTAGGTTATTTTTTGTCTTGTTGATTAATTGAACGTGATTGAAAGAGTTAAGTGTCACGATTTTTTTACCCATTTTCAGAAAGAGAAAAAGGATTTTGAATAGAATCGCATAACTGAATAAAATTTCGCATTCTGATTGGTTAATGAAGCGAGGTATTTAGCGCGGAATTGCGAGTTGAAAACGAGGCTGAGTGATATTGTTTCGCATCTCTTGTTTCGTGCTCAGGATAAAAACAAATATTATTATTGCCGTTTTCTTTTTATCTTACTTCTATTCAATGCTGCGATTCTATAGGAAATTTCATTACTTGACGAGGGAATTCCGTGTTAAAATGCACGCAAAAACCGATATCACATGGATCGCGAAGCGATGCGGGCGATATCAGTTTTCAAGTGCAATTTAAGCGGAATTCACGAGTCAGGTGATGAATTTTCCTATAGAATACATCCAAGAAAGGTTTCGATGACCTTTTTCATTCCTTGGACTTAAGGTAAGCCACGGCAAAATCTTAGTTCCGGTTCACCACCGAAATTGGAGAACTTCACTAAATAACCTGACACCGTATCCAATTAATACCTGAGTGGGCTTTCCTTCTTGGTGATAGTGAACCAACGCAGGAATCAGTCGGCGTGGATCCAGCTTCTTCTTTCTCTGTTCAATCCAGGCATTGACAGTTTGCTGTGGAATGTGCTGCATTAGCACAGGCGAGAACTTGTAATAGAGATCTGTATCTGCTGGCTACAGAACAGGAAAAAATTATCAAATTCATGTGGAGTGAGAAGATACGTCATCACCCTTGTACTTCCTTTTTTTCCATACTAAAGCTCTAGAGATTTATTCTGTTTCATCTCGGGGAGTTTGCATCTAACAACAGCTATTTCCAAATGACACACTGAAGAGAAAGTTTAAATGGTTGCCAAGGCAATTAGCTAACTGCTAAGATAAAAAATAACACACACACACGCACACGCACACGCACACGCACACGCACAAGCACACGCACACATACACACGCACACGCACATGCACACACACATAAACATTTCTGTTCGCTTTGGAATACGTGAAGAGCCTTCTACTTAACCATGTACAGTTGCATGTGTCGTAAATTACCACAATGCCTTCAGGATTGTTGAAGCTGCCTCACACCTACGCGTAACACGAGTTCGATCATGTGCACCACGAGTTCAAATAGGGAATGTAACACGAGGTTTCGAGTCGAATAAGAGTTGAGTTTCACGATTAAAGTTGATACTCAAAAGGCAAAATGCGAGTTATCATTACAAGGATGAATTAAACTAAATTTCACAAGGAAACTCTCGGTTCTTCCTCGCAAAATTGACGGCCACCAGTTCTCCATGCAACGGGGAAAAGAAACAAGATTTCACCAGGAGTTAAGTGCGAAACCAAACATGATGGTTGAGCGAAATTACAATAACTCCCTTATAAGATGTTAGCATTGCAGGTTTTAACACAACCTGTTTTTTAAATAGTGGATCCAGTTAAAATTGCTCTGGTCAACATAGCAGTTTTCCAACCTGTTTAGTGAGGACATTCAGTGCAGCCATAAAATCATCCTGCTGAATATGATGACTGATAACATGCTCAAAATCTATAAAAAAAACACCAAAAATCACAATTAATGGAAAAATTCCATCTGCATTTCATTTCTTTCTTGTTAAATTTCTCCGTTAATGGGAATGTTTAAACATCGGTTGCAGCCACCGTAAATCAGTGTTCAGTTGACATCTAAAAAGAAGTGTACCTTGCATCAACACGGCAAAAAATATCAAGTTCTCCACATCTCCATGACTAGTGATCAAATCGTAAGCTGTCTTCCTGTTCTGATCTAAACATGTCTGAAAAAAGTAAAAAATAGGATTCATAATTCAATTTACAAGCTGCGTTTGTTTCATTCAACTAAAATGCTTCCTTTTCACCCACCTTGACTTTGGTTTGTGCAAGGAACTTCCTGAATTCTTCCTGTACGCTTTCATATTTGGGTTTTGGTTCCTTTCCCCTTAAACTTCCCAGGTCGTTCAAATACAGCTCGATCAGCCACATTATCAGCATGGTCATTTGCGTCTTGTCCTTCACAACACACAACACAAGATCAAACACAGAACCATACAGAACAGAAAATATAGTTTAAAAAAAAAGGGAAAACCAATCTTATAACCACTTCTCTCTTCTCACTCTTGGCGAAACGTATTACGATCCACAGGATACATTCTGCTGTAAGGAAACGGGTTCAAAGATTCGGGAAACGAACTGGTAAAGGTGGGAAGGACTTGTTTTACTACAAGGGACACATTCGTATTGGGGCGTTGCCTCCAGTTACCCTCTGAATCCTCTATAAACGTATCAGAGAGGTGCAACTATACTCTAGTATCGCCTACCGTAACAGTAGTTTCGTACTATCCCATCTGTAGCTACAGTTCGTTTTCAATTAGAAGCTTTTTAATTGAACGAAAGTACTGCAACCATTCTGGTACCACACAACACTCATTACCTTTGAATCATTAACCAAGACCTGTAATGAACTCAGTCACTAATTTAATTTCACCTGGTGTTTTATACTCTCCAGCTTTTTTAAAAGAAACATCCTGAGTGCCTGGCTCTCCTCCACTTGAATAAACTTTAAGGCAACTTCCTCAAATGATACTTGAGTTTGGGCGTAGCACTTGGCAGCAATGGCGTAACTAAATAAAACACAAAACAATCATTAAGAATACGATCTGCCCATTAGTCACTCGGACATTTCACTATTCAAAGAATTAAACAATAACCCTACATCACTCATCATACAAGGTAGATACAAGAAATCTTTTGTTAAAGCTCAGTAGAAACCTTTAGTATAGCTCCAGTATTAATATCATCACAATAATTGGTATTCAGAATTTATCAATTTATATTAGATAACTAACCATTTTTTTTATTTAAGCAATAACACATTTTTCCAGGCTCTTTAACGTGATAAAGCCACGCGGGATGTTGGGAGAACACGTGATGTTCTCCCATCATCCCAAGTGGCCCTATCACATTCTAGAGCGCGGAAAAATGCGTTCTGTTGTTTTTTTATGACATAACTAGGTACATGTACATCGGGCTCTAGAACCTGACAAGGCATCCGCTTAGAAACTGAATTGGCCAATCAGACGATGCATTCATTATGTTTTAATTGACATTTGTGTACAAAATCGTCAGCTACGAGTAAGCCCTCATGATTACCGCTTCAGCACCGCGCTTCTTTGCCCGCGGGAAAGGATGCAGCCTTCAACAACTCGCGCCGGAAAGAGGTCTGTTAAGGTCTAGTTCCAGATCTCCAGCAAACCTCTCATCAGCTCGTGTCAAATCATTAGCGAGCGTTATGTAGCGCTATTAATACTAATAATGAGGGTTCACGCATGCTGGCTGGTGTGGCTCACGAGATTGTCAAGCGAGAATCTAATGATTGAAATATACTGTGGATATTTATGCAGAGTCTGGGAAATTGTGGTACTGGTAAGTAGATCTGGGACCTAATGATTAAGTTGACGAGAGCAGAATACAAAACGGCGGTTTTATGGTGACTTTACTAAAGAAAATAATGTCAGTTTATATGGCAAAGTGAAGTTTTTTCTTGATTTTTTCTTGCATTTTCCTAATGAACTGAGCAGCTACAATATAATGACAAGAAAAAGAAGCAAGTCCTTAAATAAGCTGTCCTTACTTCTTGCTTTCAAATAGTTCGTCGGCTTGTTTAGTTAGAACTTTATCCAAATTTGCTGGATTGTCCTGGTAGTAGAAGCAACCAATTCAATGTATGCTGTCTTAAGAACTGCATGTAAAAGTCTTTTACCATCAATTTGTTATAATGTATTATAAATTAATTTAAGGTAAAAATTGCAAGGGGGTGATTTGTAAATTTATAAAAACAAAATAAACCACGGGTAGCCCAAGCTCTATATATGAACCACACAAGGAACACAATATGGCATATCGATTTATAAGGATTTGTATGGAATATTCTACTAGATATCAATGGAGGTAGTTAAAAGTGAAAAGTATTCAATAAAAATGGCTTACCTTATTCCATACAATTTAACTTGATTTAAGCGATTTTTTTTTATCCTGGTTTTCTCTTCTTTCTCTTCTCTTTAAGAAGAGAAAACCAGGATTAAAAAAAATCGCTTAAATCAAGTTAAATTGGTAAAATAACGACACCAGGAACAAACAACACACGTATGGAATAAGGTAAGCCATTTTTATTGAATATTATTTTTCACTTTTAACTACCTCCATTGATATCTAGTAGAATATCCCATACAAATCCTTATAAATCGATATGCCATATTATGTTCTTTGTGTGGTTCACATAGAGAGCTTGGGCTACCTGTGAATAAACATATACTTATTCAATCTGTTCCAAAAAATTAGACTAACTTCTGTCCTCAACTAAAACACTTTCACAAATGAATAAAGGGGGTAAGTTTCTAATGAAACTGTGGTGTTGCGTCTGTGGGGGTAACAAGGTAATTTGGTAATATCAACTAAGTTGAAATTTTAAATTGGTCACCATAAAGAGTTGAATAGCTGACATTTCGAGCATTAGCATTTCATCAGAGCGAATAGAGGAATTGTGGGTTGTGTGTAAATATCCACACAGACAATTCACAATTCCTCCATTTGCTCTGATGAAGTGCTAATGCTCAAAACATCAGCTATTCAACTCCTTACGGTAGTCAACTTACAATTTCAACTTAGTTGATAAAACCAAATAACATACTTCCACATTCTATACAGCACTGGGCTCAGTTTTAAATGTACTCTCAAGTCTTGACATGTGACAAGAACACTATCCTATCAGAATGTCTGAGCACAAGTTGCCCAACATTGAACAACGACAAAAGATAAAACAGTACTTGAATCCCCAATACTATGTTTAACATTACCCTACAATACTCCTTGGCCAACTCAAATTCCCCTCTTTCCAGGTACATTTTCCAAACATCCCTGCAAATAAAAAAATCAACCGTTCCACTCCCATCAGTGACCAAGATAGAATTTCTCCTCACAATAATGGTACAATATTGAGCAGACATGTGATGAGAATAAAGAAAAAATTAATATCAATTAGAGATAATTAATTGATCCAATACCAAATTCTCCAAACTAACTTTATAAGATTTGTATAGCAGACAGTAAGAAGAATTATTAATGAAATCTTGAAACTGAAAGGGTCAAGGTGTGACAAGAGAGATTTAAGTTAAAATAATTTTAACCAATGATAAGTAAAAATGGTTGTTGTGGTAATTCATTGTTACCTGCTCTCCCTTGTAACATGATACTGAAAAATAGCAGAATCTGCAAAAATCCACAAAGTCTTCTTTACTGTATCAACACACAGTCCTCTCATTGCACCAAACTAAGAAGTAATCAACAATCACAGTAACATTACAGCTGGCTGTTTTTCATCAATTTATGTCCAACATCAACATCAAGGTGCAGTGCTGTCAATAAGTTTTAGAGTGGATGCGAGGCTCGACACTAATGGTAGCCAACTAGCCACAGAATAGTCGAAATTCAGTTTTGGCTGATGGTTTTCGATGTCCACCAGCCAGTTTGGCTTGTAAACAAACTGAAATTGCCGTAAAATCTAAGAAGTCACTTAAGCCACTTGGCTGGTAAGTTGAAAAGTTAGTGTTGAGCTCTGGGAAGGCAAATAAGAAAAAGTTGGCTGCCAGGTTATCAAGTGGATGCCATTCTGTTTTTTTCAGATTACAAGCAAGTCTTTGAACTCATCATGCAGTTAAAGTCAAACCAAGTGAGGCATACCTCACAAGATTACATTCAATGACCTACATAATTATTTCAATATTGAATTCACTAGTGGTTTCATGGGTAAAGGTAAAGAATTCGATCCTACAGATGCATCAGCCAAAGCATTGGCCAATACATTGGCCAACACACTACCAACACACCACCCACATACTACCAACACACCACCCACACACTACCAACGCATCGGCCGACACTATATGCCTTGGTAAGATCGACCAATCCATCAGCCAATGATTGTTTACCTTTACTGTTTCAAGCAATACAATAATGCATTGATTATTTGAATATCAAACCCAATAGCCACATTAAAGATGAAATCTGGGGCTCGGATTTTTTCTAATAGCCATATTGGTTTTGAAATGGCGCAGATCATTGTTCAAATCAGAAATTGGCTTCTGATTTCAACAATGACCTCTCCTTTTCAAAATAATAGACCTGTCAAGTTTAATATCCATAAAATCAATCCAATTTTGCATTCTTGAAATGACCAGCAGGTTCAATAATCAAAACAAAATTATTCATTCATTCATTTAAATTAATTAAATGTTATCTTCAGGGGTACACTTCACCTGGTTTGATTGTAAAATATTCTACACCTTCCACAAAGTTTGCCCAAACCTTTCCAGCAGATTTTGAACTTAGAATAAATTCACACTTCCAAAACTTGATGACCATGCTTTTCTGTAGTTTTATTGTAAAACATTGGTCAGGAGTTTGTTTAATCATGCTGTGTTTTTTCTCTCATATGCTCTAATTTCAAATCTAAGTCCAAAGTAAAAATGCAGTACCAACCCGAGCTGGAAACAGATCTTCAAACACAACTTGTTCACTGAGAAGTGATACGGCTTCAAACCTGGTAAAGGCAAAAGTGTAACTTAAAAATGACTAAGGCATTGCTAATTCACTTTAGTACAAAGTGCCCCTGTCTTGTGAGTCAGAATGACATACTATAAGCTCTAAGGCTGGTAACCTATTTCGACTTGACCCATTTTTACAAAGATTTAATGTTCAACATCTTAAATTTCTCAGGTTTAAAACATACAAGTACTGTACAGTAGTTGTACCTAAAGTTTTGTATGTTGAACAACACACTGTATGTAGGTTGGTACTAGAACAAGGAAACCTTGAAGGGCTCCAAGCATTAATTTTGGTAACCTTAAATAAAAAAATGGCTGCCCAAAACAAAATTGTTGCTGCCAGAAGAAACAACAACAAAAAAAAAAACAAAACAGGAAAGAAAAGTTTGTGTTGCCATAATATAACTTAGGCAGATATGGTCTATCTTTATTTATAGACAATAAACACTTGATAATTGTTATAAAAATTTAATGTTACAGATTGCTCCATGACCGAGCTCACCAGCTGCCAAATTGGCAACTCTCACAGCCAATTCAGTCCCCAAAGTTTTTATTACTTGCCTTGGGGACCAAAACAGTCACAGCTTGGAGCACTGCCCAAAGCATCTCCCTTTCACTAAAAGGCCAAGCCTTTCTTTGAAAGAGAAAAGGTCTCGCTAAGATCAAGAGGACCAAAAAAAGTAAAACAACAACAAAATAAAGGCATCTCCCAGTTACACCCATGGGATACAATTGTTCAAATGTTTCATACAATGTAAGTACATACCTGTCTTTATAAAGCATAAGGGCATGGAAACCTGTCAGACCAATGGATAGAGGTGTTGTTCCCTTTCCTTCCACCAACTCAAATCTTATGTTGAGTTGAGAAGTTTTGCTTTTTTTCAATTCATGATTGTATGCTTTGAGTGTTCAAAATCACATAGAGTGTATGTAAATCTAATTGATCAGTTCTAAAAGGATACGGTAATAATCTTGTTTCTGCTGTGATATTATCACAAGACTCAGGAGGACTAAAGTCTAGTTTACCAAAGTAAAGACCACTCCCTAAAGGATGGAGAGATAAGACAGTCAGGGATTGCAATAATAGTTGTCTACTGCTACTGCTGCCTGTAAGACCTTTCACTGCCATCTGTGCCTGCAAACAGGCTCTTGTGTTGGGGTTTCCCCTTACAACACAGCTACCTGATACACTATCCCCAGCTGCTTATGGAAAAAGTTATTGATTTTTATTGCATTAATTAACTCTTGCTTGCCAGCATGCCGGCGAACAAGAGGACTGGTTTACGGTCAATTTTGCCACCACAACAAACTTGCCACCACAAAGGTTGCCACCACAAAGGTTGCCACCACAAAGCTTGCCACCACTCAAAGTGAAACTGCCACCGGTGGCGACTTGACTGAAAGGCTATGTGTGAAACTTAAATCAAATGAAAGCTAAGATGCAGTGGTATATTGCAAAACAGGAAATCTGCAGCATCTCAATAATGGATTGTTAAACACAATAAAACATGTTGATATCGTGTAGATTATGAGCAGTTTGCAAACAGCAAAACCAGAGTGATATTTGCCAAGTGATTTTCACCAAGTGATTTCTGCTGACACGAATGAAATTGTTTGAAACTTAATCATAAAAATGCTAAGAGGTTGAAGTATATTACAAAATTAAAAGTACATGACTGTACACAGATACAGCTAAGCTTACTCAAACAGACTTTGGCATCCTTTCTTTGTTTGGTAAAGCCCTTTGTTTCAAGCACAAAGAATGTTGATGTATACTACTACTGTACTACATCTAAGCTTTCATTTGATGTAGGTTTCACATGAGAGGATACACACAATGTTTAAGTCAAATCACCATCGGTGGTGATTTCACTATGAGTGGTGGTGAGTTTTGTGGTAGCGACTCTGTTATGGTAGCAAATTGACCCAATAATACCAGACGTCTGATCTGGGCACCTAGAAATATAATTGTCATACTTTACAATACAGGGGGAATCAAATTACTTTGTCATTAAAATAATGGGAGTAAAGAGAACAAACCTGTGAGCCACGCAAAAGAACTTGGCAGACCTCTGACCTTGGGGTAAAATAGAGCTAATTCACTAGAATCCAAATGACCTGGCATCTCAAGGAAAGGTGCTTAAAAAAAAATCAAACAATAAAAAACAAGGTAAATGAGGATCAGGGAGAAGAAGGGTTGATAGAAAATAATGATAGTAGGATGTTTAAATTAAATGAGAATTGACCGAGGGAAGGAAGGATATGATGTAGCAAGGAACACTGACAGCTGACAAACAGATATGCATGTGTAAACAAGTGGAACAAAAGAAAGAACAAACAATCCAATTGAAAAATGGTGGATAACTGACTATTGACTGAATGAACAAAACAAATAAGAGAAGGAAGAGGAATGTGCACAGCAAAAAGAGAAATAAACTTTGAGGTGACTGGCTTGTTGAATATTGAAAGGATGGGATCTTTACAGACAGGAGGGGGAAATTTTAATTAATAAGCATTAATTCCTTTCCCCACAAGACAGGAGGTTTTAAAAAGGAGTATAATTTAACTTACTATAAGAAGCAGAGAGATCATGATTACCTGGGTCGTTCTCATATTCTGCAAACAAAGGCTGTAAATCCAGAGAGTCTGTAACTGTTACATCACCAATAAACTGATAAAGGCGGCTGTATGCAAAGAAAACTGCTTGATTAGAATGCATCACTAATGATCGGCTGTATGCAATGACAACTGCTTGATTAGAATGCATCACTAATGAAATCAACGACATAGTGTATTACCAGGATTATTGACAACTTGCTTGACAAGTCATTTAAACAGCTTCTCAAGTCTTTAAATGTATGGAAATAATTATTTACATTAACTGATATTCCAGCCAGTAGAGTTTTTCCATATCACTGAGAAGTAGCAAACAAACTCATGTTTTGAACCCCAGAACTCCCTAGTGTATGCTTTCCAGTAAAAAGTCCACACAAGGGCTGGTAAAAATCTGAAATCCCACCAATGTGTTCCTTCAGAGTTGGCAACACTTTAGCCACTGGACAATTTCAAGTATATATTGTTTCCCTTTTTCATTTAAATTTCGAAGCCCTGGATATAAAGATACATCACGAGCCAAGCTCTTACATGTCTTAACAAGGAGATGTAAAATTGAATGCCATGCAGTACCTCAATGTTGACACCATAACAAAGTATTTCCTGTCAGATTTTGGTGACACCGGAAACTTCTCAAACATGATTCCATAAATTGACTCCTCTGGACCACCAAGTGAATTTACATTGTACAGCTGAAACACCATAAGATTGTTGTTGTGTTTTTTAAAGATGAATTTCAATCGCTCTCTTTATATAATTTTTAATTATAATATACAGTGAAATACTGCCACAGTCTGACTCACTTGCTTCCAAAATTTTTCCAAACCACCTTGAAAGAACTTTTCTTCTGGCTCCACCTCTGTTTCAAAAACCAGCCCTTAAAAAATTGATGAGGAAATGAAAAATATAAAGGCCACAGTCCAATCAGAAAAATAATCAATCAATCATAAATGAATAAACTACTAAATGTTGCTTAATATAAATCCCTCCTTGCAAAACAAACCTTTGGTTGTCCCCAGAAGAATTGTCTGTGTAGAACTCTCTGTCAATTTTGACTTATTCCATGCAATGGCATTAATCAGATGTCCCTAGGAACAAATTTAAAATATCCATAACTTAGGTAAGAAACTGGTCTGAATGACAGTGGACCTGAGGATAATTCTAAGTAATTTTCATTTGCTTTTAATGCTGCTTAACATGAAGGCCACCTTTCACCCAAGATGGTGTAAGCCAGGTACCCACTTTAGTTAGTAATTACACTAGTGAGGTCGCATCACCTCATACAAGAAATTGTGGAGATTTTACAGCTCCCAAGCCAATTTTGCCTCATTTCATTAATTTTGTGTTATCGAGGCCATCTGCATGTACTATGCTCATATGCAGTTCCTATTGTCCCTGCTAGACACCACATCCTTGCTCATCTGAGGGTATATGTGGTGGTTGGATCGTAGCCTGAGCAGGCCTCCATTGGAATGACCAAGAAGGAATTGACTTCAAGTCTCCAACCCCTCCTGGCTCTTTTTCTCTCAGCATTCCTTTTTACTCCATCCTCCATTGGAGAACCTGTTCACGGGCTATCTGAATTGTCACAGTATAGTTGACTATGCATTTTCTCTCTCTAGACCTTTAGTGACTAAATTCTCTGAAAGTAGTACATAGACTCACTACCTCACAATGCAGCCATACCTTCATTTTTGCTAATGGTTTAGGTTTCTTGGAATTCCTGGCCAAATAAAATGACTCTTGAGACTTCATGCAGACAATGAGATGTCGGGCAGTTGGATCCATGAAGATTCTATGAACAGAGTCATCCACGCGCTTGGTGATATCAACACCTAGTAAGATACGAGTTACAGTCATGTTATAACAAAGTCATCCACGCGCTTGGTGATATCAACACCTAGTAATATACGAGTTACAGTCATGTCATAACAGAGTCATCCACGCGCTTGGTGATATCAACACCTAGTAACATACAAGTTACAGTCATACAACAACAAACATATGAAACATATGTGTGAACTGTGGTTATGAGATGTATATGAGCACGATCCTTCGCAGTAAAGCACTATTTGAGCAATAGTGAAAATCAGACCTGAAAAAAAATTTCAGGCCTGTACGGGATTCGAACCACTGACCTCTGCGATACTAGTGCAGCGCTCTACCAATTGAGCTAACAAGCCAACTGGGAGCAGGCCATCAAATTAATTCGACATAAACCCGTAGATGATAAATCAAACAACAACAAACATATGAAACATATGTTAAT